TTATTGCAAGCCTTGCAGTACTTCATGTTTTGCTTAAAATTCTGGCTCCTGGAGTTATACAACATATGAATCTCCTTTATTTTCAATTTTAAAAGAAGTTTATCGCCTTCACTGAATAGAAAAAATTGCCAATGAGCCTTTTAGAAAGTGTCAAAAATAAAAAGTAAAAAAGAAGAAAGAACTTATATTTTGCTGAATAGCTTCACAAAGAGGAAGATATCCTTAGACCAAACTCATGACTTCTGAACCCCAGTGCATGCTTACGACTCACCAAATCATAGCTGATTATTTTCACTTAACAGCAGTCCTGTTCTTGTAACAGTTAAGGTTGGGGATTTCTTTTCATGCTCATAAAGGTATGAAAAATTTGGAGCCTTCTCCAGTCCAGCGTGGAGCGGAGGATCTCTCCTGCAATCCTCAGCTCCCGCCCTGGTGGCCATGGGTTCCCCCAGCTGTCAATGGGGAAATGAGGCACAAAGTAGAAAAAACCTCTCATCAACCACCCAAACGATGCTGACTGTGCACCAACCGCCCAACTGGGAAGCCCAGTCTTTAAACTGCCTGCTCCAGAGCCTACCGTGAGCTATGGGGTGAGCCTTCAGGGCAGCTGTAGCTCGGGGGCTGCTCTCTGAAGAGCCTGGATCAAAAACCAGCCAGCAAACTATCCCTCCCACCATGGCTACAAATCTGCATGGAGCTTGTTAACACTGAAACAACACAACGCTTTATTTCCCCTCTTCCTCCCACCTTCTAAATTCCTTTTTTTTTTGTTGTTTTTCTTTTTCCCCCTCCTTACCTGGTACATTTTGTTAATTCTCTAAGCTATTTGAGGCAGGGGCTGTCACTTCCTACGTGTTTACGCAGTGCCTCGCATGAAGGCTGACAGCTCCACCTGCCATTATAATCAACGGGGTGGGAGGGTTTCTTAAGGAACTACGGAAAACAAGGCACTCACCTATCACTGACATTCAAGAGGCTTTGAGTAGCTTTCTCCCCTTTGAAAAAAAATATCTACATTTACAAGTATAATAATTAAGATGTCTGTCATCACCAAAACATCCATTGTTAAAATATGACGCAGCCTCCAAGTAGGGAAAACCTTCATTTGGAGCAGAGTCACTAACAAAAAGGATTTTGTATTTCAGAAGCGCTAAGATCTCATTTGTCTCAAATCACGCACAACAATATTGAACATACTTTCTGGAAGTATCATGTCTATCTCGTACCCTATATTGCATTAGTTAGATATCTGCTGAGAAACACACACTCCCATCAATCTAAGCACTAACATTGTAGGTTTTTTAAAAGAACATTTCCTATAAATAGAGATTTAAATGATCTTCTTTAAGTATTGTAATCTTTAATTGAATTCAATACCTCTGCAAATGGAGCAAACAATCTCTGACTGATTAGATCATTTGCTTCTATTCTATTTCAGACATGCACTGGTTTGCAGTAATGTAAGGTTTTTTCATTAGCAACTGCTGTTGAGCTGCATATTTTCTTCAGTAACCTAATTAATTCTAGAAAGGTAACTTTTCTTCTTGTGCATTACAGTATGTCAATGTAGCTGACGCTCTTGCTGAGGTTATATAGGAATAAAAATAAAAATGGAGAGGACAAAAATGAAAGGGAATACAGAAATTAGATTTTTCCATGAAATGGTGAGTGCCTTCATCTCCCAGTGACATCAAGATGGAAAGTGATTACTCAGCACCCTTCAGGACAGACCCGTGGGAGCCCTATGGGTCACCAGCACAGAAATTATTACATGCAGGGAGAATAAGAAACCAGGTAGTAATAAAGAGAAGAAATTACGTCCTTAATTTGATTTGGTAGCTTCCTAATTCTGAAGGCTTTGCATGAATAACAAAGAATCCTGCAGAAAAACTTCAGCTTTGACTTTGGGATGCTATCAATCTCCTTAAATCAAATCACAGGCCTGATTGCAAACTGCATTCCAGTGCAGTCCCTGACTAATGAACTGTACAGTCGTAATGACAACACAGATCCTACCAGGCAGGATGTTTAGACATAGCTGAAGTAAACCACTGTGTATTATTAATGGCAAGAAGGGCTCAGTTATAGACTCAGGACGCTGGAAACTGAGGCCAGCTGGCAAAGCAACTTGCTGTGTGCTCTAATGGCATTAACACTGAACGCCGTACTCAGAAATGCTGATTTCAGGCTCCTCAATACAGAAACATTCCTAGCAAGTTCTTTCAAATAAACCTACACCCTCTGAACGTGCTTTGGTGAGATGCTGTGCACCTCTGGATGCTCTTGGAGCTTGCACGAGGCTCATGATGGAGTGACATCAAAGAGCAGGTGCTGATGGTGTTGTGGTGTAACTGGCTCAGCCAGGAGGGGATGAGGGAACGGCACAGTTGCCTTGAGGTCACTCTGCTCCAGTGGCAGCGAGGTGCTCTAAAACAATTCTGTAGATGCTCTGATAAAAGTCACTAAGGGCTACACCTTACTTCAGGCACCAGTCTAGAAATGGAAGGTCTCTGGAAGATCTTTTGGCTTGATCATCTGTTTCCCCTCTTCAGAAAAAACTATACTTCATCATAGTTATTAGCTTAAAAAACTTTTTTCTTCCCTAAATATGCCATTGGAACACCTCAAAAAGGAAAATCTCAGTGACGAGACAACCCAAAAAAGTAAATAAATCCTAGTGGGGATTATTCCTGGAAACTGAGGCCAGCTGGCAAAGCAACTATATCAGTAAACTCCCATCAGCCACAGATCATACAAGGTGCCAACTGGGAATGGTCCCAGGGATGCTCTTCCTCCCAAATTGTGCCTGGGAGTTACCTGAGGGAGTGTCAGAGGCCAAAAGCACTCTCAGAACTGTTAGCACAGTTTAACTTAGTTTAAAATTTTAATTTAGTAACATTAATTTAGCCCAAATTCTTCCACACTGTGAGGATGTCCTGCACTTTTTAGATGCATCTTCCTCTGGGTAAATTTGATGAAGTCTTACATTTCATTGCTGCAAAATACCGAGGTCAGACTAGATGGACAGAAAAGTGGGAGATACTATTTAAAACAGGATTAATAACAAAGAAAATGTATTGCCTATTTAATAAAAACACTGTAGCTTACTACAGTAATCACTGAAAGAACTATAACCTGTGATCTACAATGATGCCATTTTTGCAGGCAGCTGGTTCCATATCTCTGGTTGTGTTTTAGCTGCCCCCTCATTTTTTTTTTCCCCTTTGGATTCTCATGCACTTTAAATAAACAAGGAAAATGCATAAAACCTGTTTGTTTAAAAACACAAGTCAAAATGGTTATGTAAAAGCTCACCTTTAACTTAAATGTTCTGCTTCGGTTTATGAAATAACAATTTTTACTTTTGCATCACGGTAGTTTTCATTCGTAGTATAAAGTGCACAAAAACACTACAGCTGGAAAAGCTGAAGTGTCGAGTTTGATGCCCTGATCAAATTCCAACCGTGAGTTGAGGTTTTGCACAGAAAACAGGCAACTTGACCTCATCCTCCCAGTCCAATCAGCACGTTCTCCTCCATTCTTGAGAAAATTAACCTCATTCATCACACCGTGCTCCCGTTACTCCCTACGGCTCCCGACACTTTCTTTGCTCCTTGTCCTACTTCTGGGTCTCAGAGCGCGGCTGTCAGTAAAAGCTCACCTTTAACTTAAATGTTCTGCTTCGGTTTATGAAATAACAATTTTTACTTTTGCATCACGGTAGTTTTCAGTCCGTAGTATAAAGTGCACAAAAATACTACAGCTGGAAAAGCTGAAGTGTCGAGTTTGATGCCCTGATCAAATTCCAACCGTGAGTTGAGGTTTTGCACAGAAAACAGGCAACTTGACCTCATCCTCCCAGTCCAATCAGCACGTTCTCCTCCATTCTTGAGAAAATTAACCTCATTCATCACACCGTGCTCCCGTTACTCCCTATGGCTCCCAACACTTTCTCTGCTCCTTGGCCTACTTCTGGGTCTCAGAGCGCGGCTGTCACGGCTCGATGGCACAGTGGCTGCACAAGCAAGGATGTGAACCAAGTAAAGGCAGGAAAAGCTTTTAGCCACGTACCTTTGTTTGGTTTGTGTGGGGTTTTTTTGGTTTTTTGGGGTTTATTTTAAACAGAATAAAGAAAAAAGAATCTTCACTTACCACCTGTTAAGCTTTAGGTTTCTAAAGTCTGAATGCTGTTACTCAGGTTATCCACAAGATGAAGGGACTTCATTCACTCACCTGTTCTTCCCCCCCCCGCTCCTTTTTCCAATAATTAAATTCTCCCCATATTATGTAGAGATCCTGACAAAACCTGAAACCTACTAAATATATCACTACATTCATGAGATGCAAATAACCTCAACACACAGTAAACAACAGCCTCTGACTTGGAGCCTGAGTCTCCCAGGGTGCAGAGTGCTCTGAATTCCCTCACGCTGCCACTGCTTCTTAGGAAGAATCCTGCCCAAGAAAATAATCAATTGTGGGACTAGAGAAACTGCTAATTCCCTCTTTTCCAGCCTCTTCCAAATTTTTTGTCTTCACATCTCTTTCCTGTTACCTCTTCTTCACATCTCTTTCCTGTTCCCTCTTCAAATTGAGTCTCTATCTCACGGATAAAGTCAACACTTCATTTCATTGTTTGTAATCCCAGGCATCCGGCACTCCTACACTGAAAATCATCAACATAAGCCATCCCAGGAAGAAAGAGAATTTAAAAATAGGCACCACTATGAAGATGGATGACAGGGCAATAAAACTTAGCACAAGAAAAATCTGATCTGGTAAGTTTGCCTAATTTAGAAGAACAGCAAGGTCCTTCCTTTCCCTCTAAATGCTGATCAACATTGTTTCCACGAGCCACGCATGGTACAGAACGTATCTGTATTATCTGTAATTCATGCATTTCTTCAACAGGAACAGTTTCATCTGCAGAGTGAATACGACACAGGAAGCCACACTCAAACACTGGAAAATATGTGCAAGAGGTGAGGAAGCCGACTTACCTGCCCAATAGGTTCTTTTGTCGGGGCCTTTCCTCTTCTAGCGGTGCTGGTGGCCAAAGTGGTGGTTGTTTCCATGACTGACGTGGACATCTCCGACTGCATCGCTGTGGCTGTGGACTCGGTTGTCATAGAGGAAGGCACTTCACCAACAAGTCTCACATTTCCTTCTATCACGATGTTGGCATCATTTTCTGCTGCCATATTCAGAACTTTCAAGCCATTGTAGTAAAGACCAGAGAGCTGGCCTTGGAAAGGATGGCCACGTTCCTTGCCTCCAATTTTTATGGTTGCTTGGCTATTGAAGATTGTGAGCTGACGCCCTGTAAAGATAATATTATATACATGCAAAAATGTTGACTGCGAACACTATACTCTACACGAGTGATAACAGATTTTCATGGGGTGAATAATGAGAGCAATAAACTATAAGAAAAGGATTTGACTCATAATTCATTGCTTTTTAATGAGGTGTCCATGAAATGCATAAATTTTGAGAGCATTTGCATTTTTCTTAATTTACGACGTTTTGGGATTATTATATTTTTTTTTTGCTAAAAGGCCAATCAAATACACTTGCAAATGTGTTTAATACTACAAATGATACCCCTCTCCCTTTTACCTGGAAGCAGTGTTAAGCTTTTTGGTGTGTGTCAAGAATGCCAGGTTTCTAATTCCTTAAGATTATTTTGTCTTCAAGTCTGCCAACATTCCAAAGTTTTTTCCACGCAATACAGCATAAGGCCTATAGCTTTAAGTATGTACATATGAGATTATGTATGTATAGACATATACAAATATGTATATACACACAGAGAGAGTTTATATATACTCCAACAAGTGACTAGGTCCAGTGAATTTTAAAGAATAAGTTATGCAGTAATCTGTCATATCTCTCTATAAGCGAATAAAATATTTACATTTTTAATTAAATGTTTCCTTTTTGTATTTAAATGTTTATTTTCCTTCAACATCCACACTGAAAAGAAACACATGGTTCACACTGAGTATCTTAGAGGCAGATTCAAAAATAGATGTCTGATTGGCTTTCAGCAAGGCTATCAATTAAAATAAAAGATTTTAGATGTAAAAGCGGCTTCAGAAATGATACACATACCGATGGAGAAATCATGGCACATTTCCATTAAACAGAGAAATCCTCAGCAACAGTACCACTCTTAGTAAATAGAATAGTCACTTTAGCAGATTGGTTTCTGCTCACAAAAAGCATGCACACAACTTTAAGTTCTGTTTTAATTAGTGTTTGTTCCAAAATCCCCTTAGAAGGTTGCAAACGTTAAAGGGACTTCATTTTGCTTGGCAATTCATGTTGCCCACTATTTAAGATACCTACAGTTTAAACAAAATTTTTTTTCAGGACCATAATGAAGATATCGTAACTACATATATTTTTAGTTAATAATTTAGATGCTGGAACATGTCATATAATCTATGAATGATTTATAATTTTTGGTTAATGTTTGCTATGAGTACCTTCATAGATTGAGTTAGTGGATTATATTTAACAGTCCCTTTAACCTTAAGTTAACAGGGTAAGATTATTAAACAGCTGGTACTTCTAGAAATGTATAGAAATTATTATACAAGGTATGCAAATATTACTCTATATTTTACTTTTTTAAATTTGTTTTTAATTTAGTTTTACTGAAATTTATTTTTTATGTTTATTAGTGTTACAATGAAGTACTACTTGGTTATGTTCAAATTATTTTTTTATTTGAAGTTTTAATCAATGTTTTTTACCTTTGTCGAGTAGCCATTCATCAACTACTCGACCAAGTCGATATGGAATTCGCTGTCTAGCAATCGCCAGGCGCTCGTTATCATTGTTTCCTTTAAAGTTTAAAGAGACATTTCATTGGTTAAAATCTGTAAGGTCAAAGGTTAAAAGTTAATACTTAAAGCTTGAGCTATACAGTTGCCACATGATTTTTTGAAATTTGGAATTTTAAAAAGCGCTGCCTAGAACATTTCATGGTTCAGACTTTTCATTCATTCATTTATTTTATTTTAGCAAACAAAATTATTCCTATGTTAATTGAAAATTAGAAATCTGCATTTGAGCTAGGTTATTAAACTTATGTTATAGACAGACCCAAAAAACAAATTTAAACATCATCGAATGGCTTTACAAAAAATGATCATTGACCTCAGGGTTTTGTCTTTTTTGATGTTTCTTATTAACTAGTTAAACATGTTCAGGTGAAACAGGTTTAAGTTTTCAAAAGACATCCAACCTCTCACTCCAGGTTAGTCATTTAAAGAAGAAGAACACCACAACTCTTAATCACCATCTAAGGCACACTTACTTCTGCTGTCTAGAAACAGACCTGCTGTAACTTATTTCCTAGTCAGAAAAAATACATTCTTATTCATGTCATTTAAATAAATTCCAGAGATTCAAACACATGATACAGAACAGACCAGGGTATTTGCCATTTCGTACATTCTCCTATGACATGTTGACAATGTCTTGAAGGAACACCAAGGCTTTGACAAAAGTGACTTGCTGAAAGGTAGCCTGGTTCTGAAACATGGAAGCGCTTTAAAATTTAGCAAGAGGCCATCTGGAGTGGGGTTCCATAAATTAAGAAATAATCCAGAACTCAGTAATGCAAAACACCAACTTGTCATATTTGGAAGCTGTACCTATTCTCAGTCTGTGCAGAGGTCTTTGACTTCTTTCAATAAAACAATGAGATAAAATAAGGCTGGTACATTCAGAACAATATCAGACAGTGAGGAATAATCACTATAAATATTTATATATAAAAATCACTATAAATATTTGTTTATAATTATAGCTTTTTGACTGTAAATTATATTGGTGTGATTCCTCAGAAAACCATGTCTTCTACTTAAAACTTTTCTTAGGAGAATGGTAAACCTAAATATTTCCTTCAATGTACACGTTTTTGGTGGTAGCAGCACAATACCTTTTTCTTTTTTTTCCCCATTTTATTGGTTAGTATTAGTAAAGATCCTGAGAGATAAGAAGGCTCAGATGAGTGAAAAGCAGGCATTCCTAATTCAGGTCCCAATCAAAAGTCAATCTTAAAAGCTCCAATGTGCAAACTGTGTTTGCCTACTGTTCACAATTAAACTTGCTGTTGTTTATTCAGCCTGTGGCTGTAAGTCAGGTGCATTTGGTAGAAGGACCCTCTGCAGTCACCAGTGTGGATCCCTAAAACTATGGCATCTCCCTACTGTAATTCCATTACTAACAGGGGATTTATCCTCAGCAGGGTTTATTGCTGCCTCCACTTTCACTACTCTGCAGCTGCTCCAGGGCATCTCTATGGTGATTGTGAAAATTTCTCTGTGAATTACCAGCATAAATTTAGTCTTGGCCAGCTTATACATTTCTTTGAATTATTTCATTAAAAAGTCCATAGAGTACGTATGTTTTTTTGAGACTATTACACCCTATTATAATGTGATTCTATCTCTATATTATGCTTTATACTAACTGCAGCGTTCTTGCACCACTGGGAGCAAAATAGGAGTGAAAAGCAAGGAAATAACCATTTGATTTGGAAAGATCACACACGAAAAAATAATCGGTCACATTAGCCCATCTCTCATCAGAGGAAAAGTGCATTGTCAAATGCATCTCAGTTTGACACCGTTACATTACCTTAAATTCTTCCAGTATATAATATGAATGGGAAGGCTAGGGGGAATGGTGTGGGACGTACCCTACTTACTTTCAAGGAAAACACATAGGTTTAGTTATGATGAAACTGGTAGACAGGAAACTAAACAACTACTTTTAAAAATAAGAGATAAATAGCACTGAAAATAAGAGAAAACAAAACATGAAAAGCAACACCCACTACATCATAAAAAACCAAACATCTTTTCAATAACTGCTTCTTCCCAAACAGCTGGATCGGGTCATACACTCAGCTACAACAAGTCTGGACAGCCCAACTGAATTTAGTACAACTACATGCATCTACTTCATCTGGTAATCATAGTCCCTGTAGGGAAAACATAAATACCACATACTGCTTTTCTCAGGAGTATCCAGCACATATTTTTCATGCTTCCTTTATTTATGCTTGGTTTTACCAATATGGTGAACCACAATGAGCATCTTCAGTAAAAACACTTCCAAGAAGGCTAATAAAATATTTTCATGCTCTAAATAAACCTGCGGCTTTGAGATTTTATTTCTGTTACCTGTCTGAAAGATTAAGTGCTCTGGCAGGCATGCTTTTCAGATGTAATTCCTAAAAAACAACTGATACAGCTAAACTTTAATTGTAGACACCTGTGTGTCTACACTCCCTGATTTCTTTGATTAAAAAAGCTAGGTAGAAGTGATTCATTCAGGATGCGCGCCGTGACATTGTCTAACCTGATTGAATTCTGGATGGCTTCATTCTTCTGCCAAGTGGATGATATTTTGTCACAAAAGAGTGTTAATTCTGTACGGGCAGAAAGGCTTCAAGGGAATAACAATAATTCCATAGACTCAAGGCAAGCAGAGAGGAGCAGCAAAGGTCAAATCTTTGAGTCGGAGCTAAATCTTGTGGCAAGATTGAGAAGAAGGAGTCCAAAAAAACTTTAATCATACCTTTATATCTATAGGTCAGCTGGGACAAACCAACTATGTGAACTTCACTAATATGTATTTTATCCCTCCTGATTTATTATATTGTCAGTGCTGGAGTGTAATTCTATTTTGTTCTCTGAAATAAAGGTGTCAGTTATTGATGTGAAATAGCAGCATCCTTGAAAGAGAATAAGTAAGAAGGTTGAAAATCGAGAGCCTGTGAAGAACAACCTAGACTACAGAATACCTTCTTTGAAAGAAACGCCTTAACAGAATACAAATTCACCTTGTTAGTCTCAGTGATCTGCGAGGGAAATAAATAACAAAGTGATGAAACCAAGGTCTATATCCATTTATAAACCCCCCCTTTCCCTAGTTTTGCTCATCATGATCTTGACACTGCTATTTCTGCATCATGACTTCCCTGACATCCGCAAGAGGAAGACAGAGACCCGTGTGGTTCCTCCAGACACAGTTAGGGATGAAACCTGACCGAAGCATCAGCTGCACGGCGTGGGAGGAAGCCACGGCAGCTCCGTGGCACAGGGGCAAACACTCCACATCTCACATGGCCAGGCTAGGAAACAAAAACCCAATCTTGGTAACAGCCCGTAATTAAGTTCATTTGAATCATCTATTGCTGTGCACGGACACTCGTGTATACAAACACGTATTAATGTTGGAATAGAGTGGAAATGCAAAGACTGTAGTCTAAAATTTGTACAAGAGATGATTTTGCAT